TGTGGACTTCAACTCCCAGAATTCCTGAGCCAGCATGGCTCAGCATTGAAACCTCTCCCTTTCCCCTCAGCATGGCTGGCTCAGGAATTCTGGGAGTTGAAGTCCACGAGTCATAAAAGAGCCAAGGTTGCCTACCTCTGCTCTGGGGGATCCATCATAAGTTTGAACAGCCTCTTAGTGACTGGCTGTAAGTAGAGGACTCTCTGTATATGATAGACAGATAATCTCGACTTAACAACCCTTCATTTAGTAACTGTTTGAAGTTATAACAGCGCTGAAAACAGTGACTTATGACTGGTCCTAATGACGGTTGCAACATTCCCCATGACCATATCACACATCATACATGTCTAGTCTAATGAAGAGAAGGATTTAGGTGACATGATAGCAGCATTCCAGTAGCTCAGGGGCTTCCCCAAAGAAGAGGGAGTCAAGCTATTCTCCAAGGCGCCTGAAGGCTGGACAAGAAGCAACGGATGGAAACTCATCAAGGAGAGAAGCAACCTAGAACTAAGGATAAACTTCCTGACAGTGAGGACAATTAACCAGTGGAACAACCTGCCTCCAGAAGCGGTGAATGCTCCAACACTGGAAGTTTTTAAGAAGAGGACTGGACAGCCATTTGTCTGAAATGGTATAGGGCAGGGGTAGGCAACCTTGGCTCTTTTATGACTCGTGGACTTCAACTCCCAGAATTCCTGAGCCAGCCATGCTGAGGGGAAAGGGAGAGGTTTCCATGCTGAGCCATGCTGGCTCAGGAATTCTGGGAGTTGAAGTCCACGAGTCATAAAAGAGGCAAGGTTGCCTACCCCTGGTATAGGGTTTCCTGCCTGAGCAGGGGGTTGGAGTAGATGACCTCCAAGGTCTATTATTATTATTATTATTATTATTATTATTATTATTATTATTATTATTATTATTATTATTATTATTATTATTATTGTTACTACTATTACTACTACTACTACTACTGGAGGTTTTCAAGAAGAGACTGGATAGCATTTAACTAGGATGGCATGAGACTCCTGCTATAAGCAGAGGATTTCCAATTATAAAGAGTGAAGCATTTAGTTCAAGAATTTGGAGCCAGAAAAGAATCGGGGATCTCTTCCTGTCCATCAGATCAAGGCTAAGGAGCTATAACAAAAAAATCTCCGGTTTGAGAGACACTTTGAATAGGTGGTTAAGGGCTTAAGGAACCAGGTTAAAAACTAGGAGACCGTGAGTTCTAGTCCCACCTTAGGCATGAAAGCTAGCTAGATGACCTTGGGCCAATCACCAGGAGACGATGAGTTCTAGTCCTACCTTAGGCTCAAAAGCCAACTGGGTGACTTTGGACCAATCACCAGGAGACGGTGAGTTCTAGTCCCGCCTTAGGCATGAAAGCCAGCTGGGTGACTGTGGAACAATCACCAGGAGACAGCGAATTCTAGTCCTGCCTTAGGCATGAAAGCCTACTGGTGACTTTGGGCCCATCACCAGGATATTGTGAGTTCTAGTCCCACCTTAGGCATGAAAGCCAGCTGGGTGACTGTGAAACAATCACCAGGAGAGGGTGAGTTCTAGTCCCACCGTAGGCATGACAGCAACTGGGTGACTAAACCAATCACCAGGAGACAGTGAGTTCCAGTCCTGCCTTAGTCCTGAAAGCTTTTAGGTGACTTCGTGCGAGTCCTGCCTTCCTCAGCGCAACCACCTGGCAAGGTGGTTGTTTGTGGGGAAGGATATGTTCACCACCAAGAGTTATTTGTAAAAATAGCAAAGGCAGGAAAGAAAGAAAGAAAGAGAGAGAGAGAGAGAGAGAGAGAGAGAGAGAGAGAGAGAGAGAGAGAGAGAGAAAAGGAAGAGAGGGAGGGAGGGAGGAGAGATAAAAGAGTGGAGGGAGGGAGGGAGGGGGAAAGGAAGGAAGGAAGGAAGGAAGGAAGGAAGGAAGGAAGGAAGGAAGGAAGGAAGGAAGGAAGGAAGGAAGGACCCACAACCAGCCAGGCAAACTCAAGACCCAAAGCTGCAATTCCCATTTCACTGCCCGGTGCCAATAATATTCATAATTGTCATTTTTACCAGGAAGGGCGTCAGCTTGGCTATTCGGTGGAATCAAACAGCCCATGAAATGGGCTTGCTTGCTAAAGGACCCCAGACTCTTTTGTCCTCTCTCTCTGCCACCACAACCCCCCCCCCACACACACATGCACGTTCCAACAAAAGAACGCAGGGCGAAAACAAAATGATCCATTAACAACAATACACCATCAGCGGGACGCGTAGGAAAATAACACCCAGCTGCCTGCATCGTACTGGCGACCTGTTGAAGCCATTCCTGCTCATCTTAACAGGAGTGGGGTCCTTGGGGGGGGGGTAACAGCCCAATCTCAGATGCTTCTTTTTTAAAAAAAATTTACACCCCATTACCTTAAATAAATAAATAAATAAATAAATAAAATCCATACCAGAGATCCGGAATTTTTTTTTAAAAAAAAAATTTATAAATATTTTATTAGGTTTTATATAGGTAAGGAAAAGATAGGGTCAATAAGGGGAATGGGAATAGGAATTTGGGTTAGGATAAGGGTAGGTACAATAATGGGGTAACCCCCCCTAATAATCCCAAGCTTTAACAAACAAGCTACCGTCCGGATCTAAATATTAAATAAACATAATTTGTATAATACTAAACAATTATAAAGATAAAGTTAACTATAATCATATAACTAAAATTAGACAGGTAAGTAAAATTCCTCTAAATGAATATTCATACTTAATAACATATCAACAAATTCTAGTCATCACCATTAATATTTAAAATCACTAATGATAAAGCTATTATTAATCTAACAAATAACAATTAAGAGTCTATTATTTATTCTACTCAATTTTAAGATTCAATTCAATTTTAAGTTCTGATCATATTCTAGCGTATTTCTAACCGTCGATAAAAAATTTCCCCAAGTTTTGAAATAAATTGAATCTTCTTTCTCCTTCATCTCCAAAGTTAATCTATCCATTTCTGCACAGTCCAAAATTTTCGCAATTATAGCCTGGTCAGATGGTAGATTTTCATTTTTCCAAAATTTATTTCAAAATTTTTTTTTTAAGCCTACTATAAACTCATATTGCAACTGGATGAACTTTTAATACACCTTTATTTGAATCTCTGGCTTTATGAAGGATTGTTTTTTTTCTGATTTGCAGCAATTCTACTCCTTGGAAGGGGTGCAAAAGTCACAGCTGCCTTACCGTGTTCCCCTTCGCACGACTGTTTGCCGCGCAACTCGCACAAAACTGGGGACGTGAAGTGTGCTGAAGTCCCGCAGCCATGTAGGATCCACCACCGGCGGCCCAAATGGGGTGCAACTCACTCAAGGTAGAAAAATTGGCCCAATGGCTGCGAGTTGATTTCACCCATCCTGTCCAGGCTAATCTTTTCATTACAATTATCGCCTGTCTCACAGTCAGCCAGATGTTCAGGCTGGATTGGGCATTTTAATCCGCCTATCCAGGCCTTCCCAAGGACCTGGGATAGGCAGATGTGGATGTTTCATGGCGTTTTTAAGATATGGTTGGAGAATGTAAGCAGTTCCCCATCAAGCTGCCTTTTGCAATTGACTGGTGGCGAATTGGTCAATGCCGGATGGGGCTTCTTACACTTAAGGCCCCTGCGACTATTGGTGATTACTTTGGCTTTCTTTTGCCCCAGTCCTCCTAATCCAGTGGTTCTCAACCTGTGGGTCGGGACCCCATTTGGGGTCGATCGACCATTTCACGGGGGTCGCCAAGCAAGGCTGTCCGCCATTTTTTTTGTCCGCCATTTTTTTCCCCTTTTCCGGCGGGTGCCTTACCTCCCTTGGGCTGGGCCAGCCGGTGGTCGGCCTGCTCCGTCTCTGCCGCTTGCCAGCTACGCCTCGGCCGGCGCAGGGGGCGGAACCACGCATGTGCAGTGCTCCCGGGCAGGGAAAGTCCTCGACTTACGACCGGTTTAGTCCTCGACTTACGACCGGTTGGGGTCGCGGCATTAAAAAGGTTGAGAACCACTGTCCTAATCCCAGTTTTATATACCGTATATATATATATATATCATTGTGATTATTGTCCACTGGTGCTGCAATCCTACCAGGCAGCAAACGTGCCAATTACAAAGAACCGCCTCTCGGCTCAAGCTTCCCTTCCTTCTGGGCTCCAACCGGGACACGCGGCCAGAGGTTCCCACGACGCGTGAACCCCACGCGAGCGCTGCATTTGGCGTGAGCCCACCCGCCGCCAGCAGAACGCGCGACTCAGGGTTGGACCGGGTCCCACCGGGTCGGAGCCGGCGGGGAGGGGTCCCTAAAGCCCACCGCTGAACCCATCCGTCCGCCCGTCCGCCCATCCACCGGGCCCGGACACGCGGCGATCGCGAGTGGGCGGGTGACAAGACAGAAGTCAACCCGTCTCGTTATTGTCACGGCTCTCCGGGCTGGGCGAAGACCCCCGGCGCCTTGCCCAAAGCGCGGGGCAAACTCCCCCCCCACCCACCCAGCCCACCGCCGAGACCCTTCCCCACGCACCCACCGACCCCACGCAGCCCGGGCCTCACCTGCCAGGAGGCGGAGGGGATCCGTCCGAAGCCCCCCAGACCCCCCAGGCCGTCGCAGGGCTCCACGTGCCGCGCGGCGGCTTCCGAGCAGTGCCAGAGCAAGCCGAAGCTCACCTCGCCCACGCCGCCCACGGCTTCCACGGAGGCGGGCGCGGGGCTCCCCCAGCGCCGGCCGCCCCCTCCCCGCGGCCGGACGATCCAGGCGGGCGAGAGGAAGCCCAGGCTGCAGACGGCCACCAGGCAGGAGGACAGGAGGACCCAGAAGCAGCCCACGCCGCTGAACATCATCGTGGGCAGAGCCGCCGCCGCGGCGTGGGGCAGCCGGCCCGAGGCCAGCGATGGAGCCGGGCGCCCGGGCACCAGCGCCGCTTGCCCGCCGCTGCCCGCCTCCTCCTCCTCCTTCTGCTTCTTCTTCTTGCGGCGCGGAGGCATGGAGGGGGCCCGGCCAGGCGGCGGCGGCGGGGGACCCCCAGCCAGCCAGCCGGCCACCGACCCACGCGTGACCGCGGCTCACCGCAAGAGCCGGCGCCGGTAGGTGCCTCCCCCGCCTGGCCGCTTGGCCTCGCCTTCCCGGTGGGCGTCTCCCAGGAGCCGGCTCCCCATCACGTGCAGGCCGGCCCCACCCACCCGCGAAGGGGGAGCGGGGCTGGCGTGGGGATGGGGGACGGGGGTCTTCTCCCCTTCTCCCTTCCCCAGTGGAAAAGTCTCCCTTTCTTCCCCCACTGGTGAAAAGTCTCCTTGCCCCACTAGTGAAAAGCCAGGCGGAAGACGGGGAGATTCTTGGGTCGGGGGGGGGGCTTTAAAAGAGAGAGAATCCCCGACACACACACACACACACACACACACACAGACACACACCGCCCAGGCTTTCCCACGACTGGGAACTCCGCGTGGGATGCCTAAGCAGTAGAATCCGCCCGCAGTGGGGCTGCAGCGAGTGGCGGAGTCCGAGACTCGCGGGAAGAACGTGGGGAGGCGAAACACGCGGAGAGCCCCTGTGCCTTAGGGTCGGGCTTGGTCCGCTGCGTGTTCCGTACTGGATTAGTACCTAACCCGGCCACTAGGCGGCTCGGCGAGGGACCAGGTGTATTCTAAGGCGTTGCTGCCCTCTAGCGGCCAGCCTGTGTTTCGCAGCTTTGATTAGTGCAGCTGAGCTGTAGGGTGGTGAATGATCATCAAGGGGTACTCGTGGATGGGGCCATTTGGGGGGAAAGAGGCCTCCTTTGAGGCGGGTGTGGTTGTGGTGAACTCTTTGCACAACGTCTGTGAGAGCCTAGGGCAGGGGTAGGCAACCTTGGCGCTTTTATGACTGGTGGACTTCAACTCCCAGAATTCCTGAGCCAGCATGGCTCAGCATGGAAACCTATCCCTTTCCCCTCAGAATGGCTGGCTCAGGAGTTCTGGGAGTTGAAGTCCACGAGTCATGAAGGGGCCATAGTTCCCCCATGCTGGCTCAGGAATTCTGGGAGTTGAAATCCACGAGTCATGAAGGGGCCATCGTTCCCCCGTGCTGGCTGAGGAATTCTGGGAGTTGAAGTCCACGAGTCATAAAAGAGCCAAGGTTGCCTACCCCTGGGCTAGGGGCTTTTCAAGGATAGAGATCTTGACCAACTGAAACAATGGGCCCAGTCCAACAAAACAAGTTTCCATGTGGAGAAAAGCAAAGTTTTACATTTAGGCAGGAAAAATCAAAGGCACAAGTACAGATTGGGCGAGGCCTGGCTCAAAAACAGCCACTGTGAGAGGGACCTCAGAGTCCTAGTGGACGATCCCTTAACCATGAGCCAGCCGTGTGCAGCAGCAGCCAAAAAAGCTAATACAATCCTGGGTTGTATAAACAGAGGCCTAGAATCAAGATCAGGCAAAGTATTAGTACCGCTTTATAAAACCCTAGTGAGGCCACACCTGGAACAATGCAGCCAATTTTGGTCACCGTATCACAAAAAAGATGTTGAGAGTTTGGAAAAAATTCAGAGAAGAGCAACTAAGATGATCAAAAGCCTAGAAACTAAAACATACGAAGAACGGTTGCGGGACTTGGGTTTGGCTAAAGAGAAGAAATAAAGGTGACATGGTAGCAGTGTTCCAGTATTTGAGGGGCTGCCACAAAGAAGAGGTGGTCACATTATTCTCCAAAGCACCAGAGGGCAGGACGAGAAACAATGGATGGAAACTAATCAAGGGGAGAAGCAACCTGGAATTAAGGAGAAACTTCCTGACAGTGAGGACAGTTAACCAGTGGAACAGCTTGCCACCAGAAGTCAAGGGCGCTCCATCACTGGAGATTTTCAAAAGGAGACTGGACATTCACCTGTCTGAGACAGGATAGGTTCTCCTGCTTGAGCAGGGGGCTGGACTAGAAGACCACCAAGGTCCCTTCCAGCTCTATTCTATTCTATTCTATTCTATTCTATTCTATTCTATTCTATTCTATTCTATTCTATTGATAACAGAGTAACAGACTTTATCTGCTCCTGCATTATGCAAGTTTTATTTATTCTTTTAAAGATGTATAGTTGCTAAATCACCTTGTTCAAATTTAGTAACTTTAAGATGGGTGTATATTAACTGGGCTGGGGAATTTTGGGAGTGGAAGTTTGAAATTTTAAAAGCTCAGATTGAGAAACATTGGATTAGGATATCTGTATAGTTTAATTTTCTAATCTGGTTAATATGCTGGCTGGGGAATTCTGGGAGTGGAAGCCAACCTGTCTTAAGGTATGTTGGCTGAGGAATTCTGGGAGTTGAAATCCACCTACTCTAAGGCATGATGGCTGGGCAATTCTAGAAACTGAAGTCCACCCATCTTAAATTATGTTGACTGTTGAATTCTGGGAATTGAAGTCCACCCATCCTAAAGTATGCTGGCTGGAGAATTCTGGGAATGGAAATCACCCCATCTTAAAATATGTTGGCTGAGGAATTTTGGGAGTCAAAGTCAATGTATCTTAAGGTTTGTTGGCTGGAAAGTTCTGGGAGTGGAAGCCCACCTACTTTAAATTATGTTGGCTGAGGAACTCTGGGAGTGGAAGTCCACCCATTTTAAATGCCACAAAAAAAGAGGGAGTCAAGTTATTCTCCAAAGTGAGGACAAGAAACAACGGATGGAAACTAATCAAGGAGAGAAGCAACCTGGAACTAAGGAGAAACTTCCTGACAGATGGAACAATTAACCAGTGGAACAACCTGCCTCCAGAAGCGGTGAATGCTCCAACACTGGAAGTTTTTAAGAAGAGACTGGACAGCCATTTGTCTGAAATGGTATAGGGTTTCCTGCCTGAGCAGGGGGTTGGACTAGATGACCTCCAAGGTCCCTTCCAACTTTATTATTATTATAAATTATGCTAGCTGGAGAATTCTGGGAGTAGAAGACAAAATAGTCTGCTCTAAAGCATGCTGCCTGAGGAATTCTGGGAGTTGAAGTCCACCCAACAGTCAAGTCACCCTGGTGAAGGAACCCTGCTCTAAATTGTAAAACTGAGCAGGTGGAACTTTATTTTGCTTGCAAGAAAACCCATTCCATGGCGCCCCCTTGTGTTTTTGAAGAGAGTTATCTGGGACAGTGTATTGAGTGGTGCCAAATATTTTCCAGGCTCCAGGTATTTTTGCAACAGCGACTACAAAAGAAATTAACTTTTTCAAAAGAAAAAAAAAGTCTTTGGGTGCATCAAAGCAAATCAATCTTCTTTGTCATACCAAAAAAAGTTAGCTGTCTAGACTGGTCTTGATAGAGCAGGGAGAGGTCTTCCAACTTGGCCCTTTTAGGACTTGTGGACCTCAACTCCCAGAATTCCTCAGCCAGGCACGCTGGCTGAGGAATTCTGGGAGTTAAAGTCCACAAGTCATGAAAGGGCCAAGTTTGAACACCCCCATGATAGAGGATTGCGGTTTGGAAGATAATCCTAAAAGGGTGATGCTAAAACACACTTGAGAGACCATCTAATCCAGTGTTTCTCAACCTTGATTACCTCAGGATACGTGGACTTCAACTACCAGAATTCCCCAGCCAACATGGCTGCCCAGGGAATTCTGGAAAATGAAGTCCACCCATCTTAAAGTGGCCAAGTTTGAAAAATCTTAATCCTGACTTCTGCATTGTGCAAGATAAGCAACTATCCTTCTTAAACAGCTCCAGAGATGGACAACCCACCTCCTTTGTTTTGTATGCAACAAAATCTCATTTGTTTTGCTGATTAGTGTACATTTAAAGTGACAATCAAGTTATTATTCTATTCTATTCTAATTTTTCTATTCTATTCTATTCTATTTTCTATTGTTGGAAGAAAAGTCTTCATCGTGGTTCAGTCCAAGCCGGGGATAAACAACATGGGGACTGCTTTAGAAAGAAGGTTGCAGTTTATTGAAGAGGAGAGCCAGACAGAAAGTTGGCTCTGGCAGAAAAAAGAGAGGGAAAAAGGGGGCTCAGCACATGTAGGGAGTGGGTTTTTGTACCCTCTGGAGCATTTTGTTTGGAGATTATTTCCTGTTCCTGATTGAGGCTTTGTATTTCCTGTGTCATGTATTTTGACCTGTGTCCCTTTGGCTTCTGTGAGTTAATCCTATTATGTCCTGTCTTAGACTTTGGGTATGATATGTAGATTTTAAGTGTCTTTGTCTTTCTAAGCTTCTAGCTCCAACTTTCCTGAATGGTCTACATCTCTATAGAGCTGGTTTCTGCTTGAGGGAGACCTATATTACGAAAAATTGGGCATGCTTTTCTGCCTCTTTAAGATCCTTTGAGGAAATATATTGTTCTGCCCTTTTAATATTTCCTTCTCTGTGGGGCTGACTTCCCACACTATGTTCTATTCTATTCTATTCCATTTTTCTATATTCTATTGTATTCTATTTTTCTATATTCTGTTCTATTCTATTTTCTATATTCTATTCTATAGAATTCTAGTCTAGTCTATATTCTATTCTATTTTCTATATTCTATCCTATTCTATATTCAATTCTATTCTATTCTAATTTTCTATTTTCTATCCTATTCTATATTCTATACTATTCTAATTTTCTATATTCTATCCTATTTTCGATATTCTATTCGATTCTAATTTTCTATATTCTATTCTATTTTCTATTCTATTCTATTTTTCCTAGGTTTGGGGCTCTTGCCCTTATCCAAAATGGCTGAACGGGCATCCGCTCCTGTTTCAGGAATGGGCCGTGCGGGATTCTCTTGCCCTGCCTCAAGAGCTCCGCCGGCCCGGAAATCTCGCCCTCTTCCAAGATGGCCTCTCCGCCTCCCTCTTCCCTCCTGCGCGTGGCGGGCCCTGTTCCAAGATGCCTTCCCTGAACGCCCCGCCTCCTCCCTCCTCTCGCTTCTCTCTGATTGGACGCCCGGCTCTATGCCCGCTGGGATGCCTTGTCGCGTGAGGGCTTAAAAAAGGCTTCCGGGCCGGTCCTTGTTTTTTTTTTTTTCCCTCATTTCCCGACAGGCTTTGCGCGCCGTCGCCGCCCGGAAGAAGGAGCCTGCGCCGCGGCGGCCGCTGTTGACAACATGGCGGCTGCCGCCTCCTGCTCCTCCTCCTCCTCGGTGCGGGGCGCGGGAGGCGGCGGCGGGAGGAGGAAGAGGAAGGCGAGCCAGCAGCCCTGAGGGACGGCCCAGGCAGGCCTGCCCGCCGGCGCCGCCATGTCTTTCTTCAGGCGGAAAGGTAGCCGCGCTTTTGGGT